TTTGGGCAGCAGATCTCCAGGCCTTTCTTCCAAGTCTATCTTAGTCCAGAAGCTCTGCCCAATCCTGTGTGGCCACAGGTTCTTGTTATGTGCTGTCAAGTTGGGACTGACTCATAGCTGACCTCTAATGGGTTTTCAGAGGCTGTAAATCATTTGGGAAGAGACTGCTCAACTTTCAACCTTCTGGTGGATTTGAACTGCCTTCCTTTGAGTTGGCAGTGCAACTCCTTACCATTAAGCCATCTGAGCTCCCATGAGCCTCAGAGCACCATGAAAGCCTTCAGTGACAGATGGTTGGTGGCTACCCGCGAAGTACAATCAATCCAAGGAGTCCTGTATGGGAAGCATGGCTTGTCTCCCTCCACATACTGGGACGCAATGCTAAACCCGTGCTTACCTTGCTGACAGGGATTAGAAATGGTGGGAAGGACAAATATTGCTGGTGCCACTGTTGTAAAACAGGACTGACCTCGAGGTTGGGGGGAGACTGAGAAAGATGGGTTCAATAATGTATACTGCATTGAAACAGATGAGGGAGAAAATGGTTTAAAAGGGATTGTGATGAGGTATTTTTGTCATGACAGGTGTCTAGAGCCAAGGCTACATGGTGGAGTGGACCTGGGAGGAAGGATTGTAAAATAATGAAAGAATTTTTGTTTTACTTTTACAAGAGGGTAGTGTACTAGGGGGGAGGGTTGGAAGGGTAGAAAAGAGCAACAATGAATGAATGGAAATCCAAAGTCTCTGTAAATTTTTACTGAAATTAATAAAAAATTTTTAAAAATAATAATTTTTTAAAAAGAAATGGTGGGAAAGCCTCTGATTCTGTAGGAAGGTGTTGTGGGGTTGGGATCGGTGGCAGCGCCAGCCCTATCTAGCAGCAGAATCTTTAATGTGCTGTGTGAATAACTACAAGTACATCCATGTTTATTTTTGCTTACTGGATAATCCCTTGTGTCTGGCAAAACTCGGGTGCTGGGTAGTACTTACTGATGAATGGCAGCTGACTTTAAAGTAAGCAGCGGCTGGCACATGTGTGGGGAATACAAAGGAAACATCAGAAGAGAGTTCTGAACTACCCAGGTGATGTTGGTTGATGCTGATGCTCACGGGCAAGGTCAAATTGGAGTTTTCAGGACAGAAAGCATTCTGCCAAACGACTTCCAGAAGTCTGTTCAGACTGCTTTTGGAGTCCTTTTTTCTAAGCAGGAATGCTCAAAAGGCTCTGTTGCTATTTCTCCCCTTTTAGCCAGGATTTATTCAGGAAAACAAACAAACAAAAAGGTCAAGGCACACAGGGAAACAAGCAGTCATCTCCTTACTAGGAAGCATGAGCTTGAACAACTCTGTTGTTCTTAACATTCAGCTTGGCACAAAGGTTAGGCTCAAAAGAGCGCATACAATAGAGTGCTCAAGGATATAAATACAGACAGCCCCAGTCTGTTCAAATGTAAAAGTCTTAGTACTTTCTGAGTTGGGGGATAGGGGGATGGGATTAATTAACTCTATTAAAATATAAAGATCTCTGGAGTGGTAAGGGAGCTCTGGGTGTAGGTGCCAAAGGTGCACCTCTCTCAGCAGTTAGAATTCACCTGGAGCTCAAGGGGGTAAGTGGATGATCTTCTGTGCAATTCACAGCCTCTCAGAAAACTGGCAACTCTCACAGTTAGAATCCACCAGTAGCCCCACGGGAGAAAGGTGGGCAATCTCCTCCTGAAAACTCACTGGCAGGTCAGCTAGGAGTCAGAGAAGAGTGGAGAGAGTGAGGGGACATGTGGTTGGCTGGTAAATGCTCCCCTAGTTGTGGGTTGAGAGGTGTGGGAACCTATTAGTTTGAGTTTTGCGGTCTGCCAAAAAAAAAACCAAAAAACAGAACCCTATCCTTGTGCCATTCTCCGGCCCATTGTTACAATCACCGTGTGAATCCACCTCGTTGAGGGTCTCCCTCTGACACTCCACCTTTCCCAGCACGATGGCTTTTTCCAAGGGCTGGCCCTTCCTGACAACATGCTCAATAGGAAGTGAGACCAACATTTACCATCTTTACCTCTAAAGGAGCATGCTGGTTGTGCTTCCACAGAAAGGGACTTGTAGTGGTCAGGAGTACAGCCAGGAAAGTGGGCGGGGGGTGGGGGGGAGACAGTTCTATTCTGTCCTAAGGGGCTTGTGTGCACACACAATTATCCTCTGGAAGCTACAGCTGGATCCTGATTCACAGAGACCTGACCCCAAGCATAACGGAAGGAAACACTGCCAGTCCTGAGGCTGTCAATCAGACTTTGTGACCCCCTGGCTTGTTTTCAGAAGTGGATCACCAGGCCTTCTACCCAGGCAGGCTTAGTCTGGAGTTCTACTGACACATGTTCAAGATCATAGGACCATGTAAGCGTCCACGGAGAGAAGGTGGTGGCTGTATGTGAGGAGCATCGCTTGGGAATCTATCTGGGCCTCTTCCATGTTGTTATTACTATTGTCAGGTGTTGTCAAATCGAGCACGACTCATAGCAACCTTATGAAGAGCAGACCTGAGCCCTGTCCTCTCCTGTGCCATCCTCATCATCTCGGACACACTTGAGCCCACTGCTGCCGTCACTAGCAGCATCTCATTGAGTCTCCCTATCCTTCGCTGACCTTCCACCTTCCCAAGCATGAGGTTCTTTTCCAAGGAATATCCTCTCCTAACAACATGCCCGTAATAAGTGAGACGAAGCTTCACCATCCTTGCCTCCAAAGATGCCATCAAGTCAGTTCCAACTCACAGTCACAGAATTACACCCTGCCATCCTGCACCATCCTCTCACGTGTGACTCTTTGTGTCTATTTTTTGGCCGGGAATCCACCTCGTTATTCACACCCACACCTCAAGTCCTCTTTTTAGGAGCATTCAAGTCAACAGGTGAAACCGGGCACAGAATGTATGTTGTCAGTGTGCTCCACATGGCCTGTTCATTGATTAATTACGCTATTTACCCACGTGGTTGCCCTCCAACTGGGAAGGAGAAAATTTAGCCCAAAATAGCTTCCTGGTGAGCAGAGAGAAGCAGAATAGAAATTTGCCCTGAGAAGTCTGGGTAAGTTTTTGCCCCAAATGACAAATTTCTGAATGAAAGATGAAGATACCGAAATGAAATTAACTGTTTGTTAGGTGCCCTCGAGTCAACTACGACTCATAGTGATCACAGATGGAAACCTTGTTGAGGGTCTTCCTCCTTTTGCTGACCCTCTGCCTCTCTCCTAGAGTCATTTCCTTCCCCAAGGACTGGACCCTTCTGACCATATGGCCAAAGTATGTGAGATAGATGTTCACCATTCTTGCCTCAAAGGAACATGCTGGTTGTCTTTCTTCTAAGTAAGATGTTTTATTTGTTCTTTTGGCAGTTCATTGGTATATTCAACACACTTCAAAGGCATTTCTTCTTCTTTAGTCTTCCTATTATGCTAGAACAACAAACAGGTTCAACCTGGAGAAGTTGAAACCAGGCTGCTCCTTGGAGACAAGGATTCTGAGGCTTCGTCTGACATACTTTGGGCATGTTGCAAGGAGGGACCAGTCCTTGGAGAGGGACGTCATGCTTAGGAGGGTAGAGGGATAGCACAAGAGAAGACCATGATGTAGACTGATTCAGTGACTGGGGTAATGGGAGTAAGTGTGTCAGAGACAATAAGATTGGCACAGGATAGAGCAGGGTTCAGAGCTGTTGTACATAGGGTCGCTATGAGTCACGAGCACATCACAACAACAACATTCTTTACTCAAAAAAAGGTAAGAGAATATGGGCTTCTGAGAAATAAGAACTATGGCTAATTTGTTCAGGAGCTCTGCTCCAACAGATAAAACTGAGGCATAAAGATTTATGCGTGTATATAAGCTGTTGAGAGTCCCAACTCAGCTGTCCCTCCAGCGGGTTTTCAGAGACTTTAAATCGCACAGAAGACAGCTAGGTTTTCTCCTGTGAAGTGGCTGGTGAATTTGAACTGTGTGCCTTTGTAATGGCAGCACAACTCCTTATCTACGAGGCTCCCAGAGTTCCCTCTTAAAACATTTACAACTCCAGAAACCAGGTGGAGGGTCATCATGAATTGGAATTGCTCAACAACAGGTCGATTTGGTTGTGGTTGATAATTTGTTAGACACACAGCCATGACCTCGTGTACCTGGAGAAAAGTGAGGCCCAGAGCTACTGTGGTCCTGATAAAGACAGATGGACACGATAAATATTTGTTTCATATATTTGGGAAAGGTAAATCAGATTTCTCTTTATTAGCCTGAAAAAGAAGCCTGACCACTTTGGGGCCTACTGAAATGCAAAGAATTCGGGATTCTCCTGCTAGGAAAGAGAAAGGATTATGACATGAGCTACTTAAACCACCAGATTTCCTTATGGTTTGGGGCAAGATATCCATCTACTGCACCTCTTGGTTCAGGCCCCTTGGGAAGGAGTTTGGAGATCTGGGGGGTTTTCGGTCCCCACTGTCTTGCCTTTAGTAATATGTTTAAAAAGGTGGGAACAGTGATATAAACAGCAACCTCCAGGACATGGCTCTGCAATTCTACTTCAGCAGGAGATAGAGTACTCTAGGACAGGAGATAGAGTACTCTAGGAAAGCCATCAAGGCCCAAAATACCTGTCAGGGTCTGGATCTAGAACAGTCTACAATGCCTGATGCCCAGAGACTGCTGCACCGAGAAATAACAGGTCGACTTGGTGAACTGGAACCATTCCACAGTTGAAGAATGTGTCTCCCAGATCAAGGTTTGTTCTAGAAGCCCCCACTTTCAGTGTGAAAAGTGGGGGGAAGGGAAACATCCCTCCTTTCCTCTCACCACATTTCTCTTACCCACATGGCCAGTCACAATCATACTGTCCCCCCAGTCACAAAGTCAGCCAGAGTCAGACAATTCATCCCTACCGCCACCTCACCCCATACAGTGAACGTAACTCAGTCACACCAGGTTAGGCTGTCCACGCCTCTGACCCACCACAAGCAACTTTACCGACCTGATTGCCAAAGACAGCCAAGGAGCAGGCCGTGGAGACCTCATTAGCCCCGAACCAGACAGAAGCGATGCGGGAGGGCATGCCCAGGATGAAGACTTGGGCCACCGAGCAGATGACCTGGCCCAGCATGGTGACCGGAAAGAGATGCGGCTTCAGGCTACTCAGCTTCACCCAAGCACCCAGGCAGTTGAGGAAGGAACCAGTGAGGGCGATGGCGCGCAGGCCAAACTTCTCCAGCAGCCAGGCGACCGGCAGAAGCAGGGGGATGTAGGTCAGCATGTAACACATGGATAGCCAGTCGATGGCGAACGAACTGACGCCGTAGAAGCGCATGAAGATGTTATTGATGGAACCATACTCAATCCACTGGAAGGCGTTGCACAATGAGTAGCAGCTGAACACCAGGACCACGACCCACCGGCGCTTGCTCACCTGGATCACGCTAAGTTCCTCCGCCTCTGGCCCAGAGCCGCTGGGTTGGGATAGGGCACTGGGGCGGGCCAAGGCGCTGGGGTTGGCTGAGACGCTGGGATAGATAGACACGCTGGGGTGGATGGACGCGCTGGGGTGGATGGACACGCTGCGGTGGGTGGAGGCGCTGGGGTGGATGGACTTGCTGATGTCGATGGACTTGCTCAGGTCGACCGCCACGCTGGGAGGGGCCGGGGCACTGGGGTCCGCCTGGAGCGCGCTGGGGTCCGTCTGGAAGGCGCTGGAATCCACATGGAGCGCGTACTCAGGCGCCTGGACGCCATCGGCGCCCTCCTCCGGCTTACGATCTTCATTCATCATCACCAGTCTTCGCAAGAGCAGGTGCTGAAGGCTCCCTCAGTCTTAGAGGACAGTGGCCTCAGTTGGTCCCCCGAGGGCTGACTGGACACTTCCTCCTGCCAGCCCCTAAAGAAACTGACACTCGCCGGCTGCGTAAAGCCACAAGTGGCGCTCCTTATGCTCGTCTCCAAACTCTGGATCCCACTTTGGAGCTTCCTTCCCGCGGCCGCTATCCCCCAGGCCAGCCGGGGACACTTCAGCCGGCTCTGGGTGCCCGTGACTTGGGTCCCTCCAAAGCGTCCAGGCCACGTCCAGCACCTTCGCTCGGAGAAGTTCGCTCCCTGTGAAGATACTTGGCTCCGCTCGCTTCCCGGCCAGCTGGGGCCTCGCCCCCTCGGGCGCACGTGACCGCCCCGCCCCCGCCCTGCCCGGCTCCCCCCCGCCCCCTGCTCCACCCCTGCCTCCAGCTCGCCTTCCCGAGTCCGCCAGCCGCTGGCGCAGTTGTTTCGCCACAGCCCGCGGGAGGTATTCCTCCCCCACGCCCCGGGAGCCATGGAAACCAACCGGTTACCCTCTCATCCCCACCCCGCATTGCCCCCGAGGCTCATTTGCCCCTTCCCGAGGGGACCCTGCAAGATCGTCTTGTCCCAAGAAGAGTCACCTGGGCGCTCCCACCACATTTCCCTGAGCGCGTGCTCTCGGCGAGCGCCCCTTTAGAGTGTCCCCAAATCCCGAGGGGATTCACAACTTTCTCTTTTTTGGCAAGGCTCCCAACCTGTTGCTGGACTTTTCGGTAGACACAAGAGACTTAGAGATTCCCCGGCCCGGCTGCGCTCCCTGGGCACATGAGAGTTGCAGAAACTCGCCTCGCTGATTTCGTTCCCTGTGAATGTGGTCTTCTCTTGGGGGACTCAGATTTAAACCCACGGTTGGTCAGGACTTGCTACTATTTCCTGATGGACACCCCCGTCCCGCCCCTCAAGTGCCCCCAAAGTGAGGGTCTGAGTGTGGAGAGGAGAAGGGGGTGCCCGGAAGCCAAAAAAGCTGGCGGCCGAAACGCAGTGAAGGGCCAAGCACGAGCGCTCGTTCAGCTTGGCCTGGTCAGTGGTCATTGCCACGGAGCTCTACTCTGCCTCCTGCCGGTCCAGCCCACCCTAGCACGTAAAGCCTCGACTAGGAGAAAGCCTGCCCTGCAAGCGGAATCTGTCTCTTGGAGGGTCTTCCTCTCTTGAGCTGAACTTACACCTTTCCATTCTTGAAGTCCCTTTCCAAAGAATGACACCTTCTAACAACATACCCAAAGTATGTGAGAGGAAGCTTCTCCATCCCTGCCTCCAAAGAGCACTCTGGCCACACTTTGGCATAGTGACAGCAGCAATGGGTTTGACCATGTCAGAGATGAGGAGGACGGCACAGGACAAGACAGGGTTCAGATCTGCTTTCACAGGGTGGCTGTGCACCGTACATGACTTGATGGCACATAACAAGAAGAGGAAGCAGGCTGAAGGGCTGCCAGACACTAACCTGGGTCAGACCTGACTAAGGACCTGGGTTAAGAGTCTGGGCTTCTGGCTGGAGACCTTGCAGCATAGTTCACTTCATGCAGGTGGACCCGGAAGACAAAGGAACTATGGCGAAGCTGCTGGAAGCCATCAGGACCAATTACAACAACAGAAATGATCCAGCACCACTGAGGAGGCAATGTCCAGGGGCCAAGTCGGTGGCCGCATCCCCAAGCTGGAGAAGGTCAAGGACAAAGAACTCCCCATCAAACTGGGCTGATGTACATGCTGACTTTTCTGTACATAAGAATACAGTTTTATGATGAATAAAGAACTGTTTGAAAGGAATGAATATATGATCAGGTGTTATATGTGTGACAACAGTCCAGAATAAGAGATACGTTACAAAGTAGAGTGGGGGAGGGAAGAAATTGTGCAACAATGAATGGATTTTTTAAAGCTTGCAAGCAATCATCCAAGGCATGCCAATTGGTCTCAAGTCACCAAGAACAACAGATGGAAGAGAGAGAAGAGTCGAGAATAAGATCAGGGTGTGATCTATGTGGCTAATTGCTTCCATAATCAACTGCCTCCTTTGCCTTCATAACTGAATGATATCCAGCCATCATTACTGAACATTTTGATAAAAGATTCCTTTGAAGACATTTTATCAAAAGGAGGGGAAATTTAGAACAGAATTTCAAATTCTAATGGATCCCAGACTTGCAACATTATATTGAGAGAATCTTGAAACATAAAGAAAAAAATTTCCTGAAGTAAAAACTTTACCTTGTGTTGTTGTTGTTGTTAAGTGCATCGAGTCACAGACAACTTATAACGACCCTATGAATGAAAGACCTGAACACTTGTATAACTATGGTCGTTTCTCCATGTTCATAGAGTTTCCAGAGGCAAGCCATTTTGGAAGTGAATGCCACTCCTGCTTCCAAGCTTGTTTTAATCAGGAAGCTCCACCAAACACTGTCCACTGTGGGTAACCATAATCACATCTGGCACATCAGTGTCACAGAGTTTAGCATCACAGCAACCACAAATTACCTCTGTACAGCAAATGGACAGACCACTGTTAACCACCTACAAGAATGCTTGGCATAAAAACAATTTAAACCAGGCTTGAGGGTCGCAGATTAAAATCACCCAACTTGGGCTTGGTAGCATAACTTTCTGTCCACTAGGCCAACATAGCTCTCTCTATGTTGTCATTGATATTATTGTTCAGTGCTGTCTACTCATAGACGACTCATAGCAACCCTATGAAAGGAAGACTTGAGCACTGTTCATAGAGTTTCCAGAGGCAAGTCATTTTGGAAGTGGATGCCACTATTGCATTTAGCACATCAGTGTCACAGTGTTTAGCATCATAGCAACCATGAGTTACCTCGATACAGCAATACACAGACCAGTGCTATATCACTTAGAAGAATGTTTGACAAAAATAGGAGGCCTTATCATATCTCCTCACTTGCCTTAAGGAATCAACATTCCACTCTACAGCTCACCAAATCCCAGTCAACAGCTTCTGCAGAACCAGCTCCTATAGATTGACTTTCAAATTGGTGTCCAATGCCATGCTGCCCACCAAGAAGGGTTTTTAAATAGGAGGCCTTTTCCTGTTTCCTCACAGCCGAAGGTAGGTGATTTGAATCTGCAGCCTCAGGCCTGGTTTTGTTTTTGGTCAAACATTCTTCTAAGTGATATAGCACTGGTCTGTCAATTTGCTGTATAGAGGTAATTATGGTTGCTGTGATGCTAAACACTGTGACACTGGTGTGTCAAAGGTGATAATTGTTACCCATGATGGACAGTGTTTGGTGGAGCTCCCAGATTAAAACAGACTTGGAAGCAGGAGTGGTATCCACTTCTGAAGTAGCTTGCCTCTAGAAACTTTATGAACATAGACAAATGATGAAAGGTATACAAGTGTTCAGGTCTTTTGTTCATAGCATCACTATGAGTCATCTGCGACTCAACAGCACTTAACAACAACAACAATGAGGGATCAAAAGTTTTGGGGCAGTGGTTCTCAACTCTTGCTGCACACTGGAGTCACCCAGAGCCCAGTCCCCACCTCAAGCAGACTCTCTAAGGAAGGTTCTGGTATTGATGGAGACAGGAGCTTAGACATAGTTTACAAGATGAGGATGACAGTAAAATGTTGCCTTTAACCTGATTGCTCAGATATAGTTGCCTAAACTTGAGTAAACAGTAAAAAGTTGCTTATGTAAGGTTGATTAACCTGCTTGATAATATCTGTGAGATTGTTATTCCAGGAAGTAAGGATCTGTGATCAAATCACCCTGGCATAAAAAAACCTGGAAAAGTATTAAATTTCTCAAAGAATGTACCATCAGCAAGGAAGTAGTATAACTACCTAACTCAAACATTAAACATGGTATTTCTGATAGCCATTATGGAAAGAGATACCATGAAACAATCAACCTTATCAGATCCCTGGGCACTGTCCTCTCCCTTCCCATAATATTCTTTGCTTCCTATCTGTTGTGCAAACAAAGCAAGGAAACACTACTGTTGTTGTTGTTATGTGCCATCTTGTCACTTGCAACTTATACTGACCCTATGTACAACAGCCCTATATCCTGTTCTATCCTGTGCCAGATCTTATTGTTTCTGACACACCTACCTACACTCATTACCCCAGTCACTGAATCAATCTACCTCATTGAGGGTCTGCTTCTCTTGCACTGTCCTTCAACCCTCCCAAGTATGGTATCCCTCTCCAAGGACTGGTCCCTACTTGCAACATGTTCAAAGTATGTCAGATGAAGCTTCAGAATCCTTGCCTCCAAGAAGCAGCCTGGTTTACCCACTCTAGGATGAACCTGTTTATTCTCTTAGCAGTCCATCATATATTCAATACTCTTCTTCAGCACCACAGCTCAAAGGCATCAACTCTCCTTCTATCATCACTAGTCATTGTCCAGCTTTCTGATCACAGCAAGTAATTGCAAAGACCATGGCCTGAATCAGGTGCACCTTAGTCTCCAGACTGACATTGTTGCTCTTCAGTACTTTGGAAGGTCTCTGACAACTGACTTTCCCAATGCAATTAATCTTAATTTCCTGGCTGGTGGTACCAAGCATTGATTGTGGAGCCAAGCAAACTGAAGCTGTTAACAATCTCAATCTCTTGATAGTCTATCATGATACTGCCAATTGGCCCAGTGGTGAGAATCTTTGTTTTCTTGATGTTGAGCCTCAATCCATGTTTAAGACTGTAGTCCTTGACATTCTGTAGCAAGCACTTCAGGTCCTCCTCAGTTTCAGCAAGCAGTGTTGTGTCATCTGTGTAACACAGTTTGTTGATAGTCTATCATGATACTGCCAATTGGCCCAGTGGTAAGAATCTTTGTTTTCTTGATGTTGAGCCTCAATCCATGTTTAAGACTGTAGTCCTTGACATTCTGTAGCAAGCACTTCAGGTCCTCCTCAGTTTCAGCAAGCAGGGTTGTGTCATCTGTGTAACACAGGTTGTTA